ACTGTAAGATATAGACTCTGTAGGTTTATCTTCGTCAACTGTAAGATATAGACTCTGTAGGTTTATCTTCGTCAACTGTAAGATATAGATTCTGTAGGTTTATCTTCGTCAATTGTAAGGTATAATTCTGTAGGTTTATCTTCGTCAATTGTAAGGTATAATTCTGTAGGTTCATCTTCATCAACTGTAAGATACAGACTCTAGGTTTATCTTCGTCAAATGTAAGATATAGACTCTGTAGGTTTATCTTCGTCAACTGTAAGATATAGACTCTGTAGGTTTATCTTCGTCAACTGTAAGATATAGATTCTGTAGGTTTATCTTCGTCAACTGTAAGATATAGATTCTGTAGGTTTATCTTCGTCAACTGTAAGATATAGATTCTGTAGGTTTATCTTCGTCAACTGTAAGATATAGATTCTGTATGTTTTGCGTGTCGAGGGTTCGTAGAAGATGACTTACCGTTAACTGCGCGACGGCCTCCCTATTCAGACAAATTACCACAACCGTCAAAAAATGTGCACGACAGTTTAAGACTTTGTGTCTTCAAGATTTTGCCTGGTTAGTCACAATGATGAAAAATGAAAAGTCTATTGCGAGTTTTGCATAAAGGCTGGGTCAACTGCAGGTGGAACTGATTTTATTTTCTAACAGACCACTAAAAAAAACTGTGAAACATCACGGTGAAAGCGGAAAGCATGAAAATGCTTGGGACTGCGTTATTGCAAAGTATGCACCAACCACGTCATCTATAGCCAGAACATTTGTAGGCTTAGCTGAACTAGATCACTGCCATGCTCGAAGAATCTTAAACACAACCAAAAATTTGCATGGAAGGTTTGACAAAAAATGTTCAGATTGGTGGCGAGACATATTAAGCATTTCTCGGACAGATGGCACCAGTGTTAATGTAGAAGCTAAAGGAGGGGGTAATACTCTCTTGAAACCTGATATTGGACAGAATATTTTGTCATTTAGTTGTTTACAACACAGGTTTGAATTGGCAGTGTTAAGTGCTCAAAGATCAGTTCCAATGATTGAGAAAGTATATGACACTATGTAGTAAGTAAACACGAGTTAGAAGTCATTGGGGGTGAGTTAGGCTACATAGATAAAAAATCTTCGGCTGCAAAGACACAGCGTTGGCTACCATAAATTTATCGGGAATTATCTGTTTGTTTTCTATTTTGCAGTCAAATGATGAGAATATTGCTACTGGACAGAGACGGTTTCATCTCAAAGAGCATCTTCCAAAAACACAGACATTAGAGGAAGAGCAAAGCATGTTGAACAGGAAATGGAGAAATCTACTTTTGTAAGGTTTTGTTATTTTTTTACAGGATCTGCTTTCAGAGATCTCAAAACATAGTTTAATTATTCCCCAGGCTGTTGCAGTAGTTGAAAACTGTGATTTGGCAATTAATAGATTGAAAGAAAAGCCATTAGGAAATGGCAAACTAGAGAAATGTTTGCAACATGTGTATTGTTGACTCCAGAGATATGCATTGTAGCAGGATCACACAGGATGCAAAAGAGGCAGAGCTATCAGCAAGTAGTTTACCACCATTATATTTTACGCCATTAAACTTAATTGCCCCTAGACTCAAAAATTAAAAAAAACTTAAAGTTTGTTTGTTTGAATTTAAGCACAAAGCTACTCAATAGGCTATCTGTGCTCTGCCCACCACGGGTATCGAAACCCTGTTTCTAGCGTTGTAAGTCCGCAGACATACCGCTGTGCCACTGGTGACAATAATAACTTAAAGATACAAATTTAAAAAAAAATGTTGAAACCACAGTTAGGGGTTTAAGTCCAGATTTGGCAACATAATTATGCTTTCTACAGAACTTCGGGTTTCAGAAAGACCCGAAGTAACACAATATTTTTCAATTTTCTGCTATAATGCATGGTTTGATGATTCTGTTAAATCTGGAGATGAGGAGTAGAAATCATACTGAATTGGTACCTATAAGGCCCCCCAGTGGCCCAGCGGTATGTCTGCGGACTTACGACGCAAGAATCCGGGTTTCGATACCCGTGGTGGGCAGGGCACAGATAGCCCTTTGTGTAGCTTTGCGCTTAACTACAAAACAAACAAAAACAAAACACATGGTACCTATAATTACTTTTTAAAAAAGAATGGGTTAATGTTTATGCAATTCAAGAAAGCATAAAACATTGGTTAAAATCAGTCTGTGGATAAATTCTGCATTGATTTATGGAAGGTCATGCTAACAAAAGAACCTCTTTACACATATTTCGAAAATCCTGTGTTGTTGATATCAACTGTGCGATGCGAACGGGAATTTTCTGCGCAAAACAGAACTAACTCTAAGTTACACAACACTCTTAATGAAGCTAGAGTTAAAGATCTTGTGAGAAACAGTGCAGAGGATTCTTCATGTTAATTGTTGGACCCAGAGCCTTGTGTTAAGCATTGTCTTTCATCGTCTAAAAGGTTACGAAAATCAAACTATACTTCCTGGCCAAGGAATGCAAACATTTTAAATGTTGGTGACACTGGCTCAGACTCTAGTGAATAAGAAAAATTTGATATTTGTATATTGTTCACAGGCTTAAGATGAGGCCAAATTCCAACATATTCAGAGGACTGAGTTAAGAAACATTATCAAAAGGCGAAATACAAGATATTTGAAGTTCTCTTTTAAAGCATCGAAAATGAGGTGCAACAGCGTGAGGAGGAAGAATAGGTGTAATGGCAGAACAGCAGATTACGCAGAGAACAAGCATGACAGAGCAAGACAGAATCAGACAGCGTAGAGGAAGAATAAGGCAGCAAAGGGGTAAATTGAGTACAAACATGTTTAGTATTTGTATTGTTTTGTTTCTTGTATTTCGAAGGAGTTGAATTTGGAGGTAGATAATTGGCACCCTACAACTGGATTTAACGCCCATAGTTTGTGTTCTAGAAGTCCTTGGCTCCTTTGGGTTAAAGGTTCGTCTGGAGTCTAGTGTATGAAACTTATGGGAATCAGCATATCTGATATAGGATCAGTACTTCTATGAACTGTATGTAGTCTGGATGATGTGAAGAAACGTGTAGAAAGTGATTAGTTTTAATGAGTTACCGGTTTAAAATGAGGAACTTCGGCGATTTTCTTTTTATTAACAATAAACTGTCCTTAATTATGTACAAGTAAAAAAGAAAGTTAAATAAGGATGATGTAGGAATGGCAATACCAAAAAGTACAAAAACAAGGAAGAAATGAATATGTAAAACCATAAAAAAATCCGGATCTGGAACACTTTGGTGCATTTTTTTATAATGGGAATATAGGAAATTATCGCGGTTTTGGGTTAATAATTCTGTGAAGTGTCATAGGATTTATACCAAATTTCATGGGCACATTAAGGTTGAGACTCCTCATCACACTAAGAAAAATTATCTGTATCTTTGTTCACTTTGGATCTGAAAAAGATTTTCTGAGTTTTTGAAGGTGAAATTTGACTTTATCCAATATAGACCCATGAAATCTCGAAAAGGAGCGGCGGTGCGAGGGTTTGCAATCTCTCTTATTACTCTTGTTTATAATGAAAGGCAGTCGCTATGAAGGCAGCAGTTTTAGCCTGGCGTGATGAGTTGTCTTGATGGACATCATGTGTTAAAGTTAATGAAACACTATACTGCTTCTGCACTTCCTAAATTGAAATGCAGAATTTTGGTGTGTAAATTATTGCAACATCTTCAAGCATTGATGAGCTAGTCCTTCTGACGCCAGATTCAGAATAATCAACAGAACATTTGACTGTTACTCTACTTGCTGATTCTCTACTTTGTCGATGTTTTTAGGCTAAACTGCGGGTCTTAATAGCTTTTGAAAACCTCAGAAATCTAAGTTAGGTGTTTATAAAAGTCTCTTATATTGTTAAAAGAGAAATTTCAGACTGCAATGAGCAATACATAATATGCGTCGGTTATTTTTGCCCGGACCATCCCTATATATTAAGCACTACCGTGTTTAGTGATAGTTCTCGTGTTCCAAGTCTAGACCCAAGTTAGAACCTAGAAGTTTGTTTTTACACCGATTCATTTTTTTATTTAACTGAAAAATAACCTACTCTACATCATAATCCGACAAGAACAAAGCAGATTATTATCATAATGTCAGTCTTTTGTTCTAACAAAAGACCACAAAGGGTGTTCCTTTTTTAAAAAAATTAGATTTAATGAAGACGCCAAAACTGTCGTAAGTTGATTTGCTACCTACACAATGTACAGGCTCGAGACTTCGCTGAGATCATTCTTTGTGAATTGATAAAGACGGCAGGAAACATATAGAAGCTTCGTCGTACAGTTTGTTGAGGTTGGAGAACTTATTTCAATATATGTTTATCTTTGCTCTTCCTAAATCTTCACTGATGCAAGGTAATTTTTTTACCAAACGAGTTACATCTCGAAAGGAGGGTGATGCCCTTTGATTATCATAATATCTAAGTTGTTGTTTTTACAGGTGTGATGATCACAGCTTCATGCTTTTTATTTCTGTTAACATATCGTTAGATCCTCGTGGTCCGCTGCCACCACAAATAAGAGACCAGTATCAGAGAGTGCACGCTGAACAAGGTCAGAACGTCGAGTTAGCCTGCGTTGCTCAAGCCACACCTGCCCCTACCTATCGGTAGGTTATTTTCTATTAAGGTCAACAAAAGCAGGTATATTATAAGAAAAGTTGTTTTCACTTCACGTGTTTGTTTGATCCAACATCAAATTGAATGCATTAATTATGTTAAACTATTACGTATAAGGTTTGTGTAACACCTAATATACGCTGGGTTGCAATTCTTCTAACTATTTTCCATAGTATGGAATCTCATACCATTTTACTTCATTATTTGTAAATGGGAATATTTTTTGTGATGAATCATCTAAAACTAAAATACAACGCTTTAAATCAGCACTAGAATGTTTTGACACGAACATTTTTGTATCTGTTAGTGTCATCACGAACAATAAAATTAGTAAATATTATTTTATGTAATTTTTTTTTCATTGTATTCCTAAAGACAGAAATATGATTAGCACTAAATTTAACACATTCTTGGACGCAACAAATAACTAGAAGACTGACAACTTATATTCTCCTTTGTTACAGGTGGTACAAAGACAAATATTTGTTAAGTTCAACTTCTAGATTGCTCATCATGGGAAACTTCCTTCTGATAAAACAAGTGGAAGTGACTGATAGTGGAGAATATTTCTGTGTTGTTAACAATAGCGTGGGAGAAAAATCATTACAGAAAACACTAGTAGTGACTGGTAAGAGTTTCAACTGTTGATAGATATAATATATATATGAGTATATTATTTTTTATCTTTAAAATATATATAATTAAAACATTTTGTCTTGGATGAGTAAAAATTCCTATTTAACTTTTAATCGTGATGTAGCTCCGCTTTCAGTGGAAGTCCAACCTGAGACTCTTGTTGCTGACGTCGGGAAGTCGGCCATATTCAACTGTACAGTTGCTGGATATCCAGTTCTGAACGTTCAGTGGGAAAAGGATAAACACCCTATAACTGAAAACAGTAGAGTGAGACTTATGAGCCGTGAAGTATTGTATATCACCACTGTGAAAAGGGAAGATCAAGGGATGTATCAATGTTTTGTGTACAATAATCGGGAGTCTGCACAAGGAACCGCCGAACTAAAGATAGGAGGTATTACAGAACTAATGTACGAACAGAAATATATTGGGATATACCTAAGATATTTGTTAGATACACCTTAACTGGAATTTTCTATTGGTTGTTCTGAAAATATGTGGTCATTCTACTAGACTACAACAAACGTTACTAAGCTACCCTACCAGTAACTTAGATCTGCTTACATGTTATTAGACTGGGTTATGAAATGGAATTCTAATTGTAGCCAAATTAAGTTACCAGTAGGTATATCTCATTATGGGTCATCTAGTTGAAAGCTATGTATAATAAAATGTTACCATGTTGCGTTGCCTAGATCTGCGTGCAAGTTGCATCTCGATTACCAGATGTTCAGTACACTAGCAGATCCGCAAAACATTTGCGATCAAATTAGTATTTTTATTAGGCCTGACATTAGTTAAGCCTATATTATATGTGGCATATGTTCGATAAGGAGATAAATTAACACTGTAGTTTGTGGACGTTTTTTTTCTTCTATAGTTTAGTTTGGGCTAAAGTTTACCGTAATTAAAGTTATCAGTAAACTTCTAATGTTATTCTACGACCTAACGTTAGACCTTTTAAAAAACTTTGATAAGCTTTTAGTATGTTTTTGTTCAAAATGTCTACTAAGTTATATTTACATACGCCTTTTGTTTACATCTGTTGAAATGAAGTGCATGCACATGCGCATTTAGATAGTAAGGTGCGCACACATTTTCAGGACAGACAAAAATTGAGTATTATGATAATAGATAATAAATAGTTGTCAAGTTAGGCAACCAGCGACTGCAAGGCTAGTTATGTGTAGTTATTTCTTTCTTTCCCATCTAAACCTGCTTCGTAAACTTGGAATGATAGAAGTAGGTAAAACCTCCATAATATTAGTGTAGTTACGAAGACACTATCGAAACATGCATAACATCGACATTAAAAATGAAATTTTAGAACAGACAATTTATATGTATTTATCTGAACTACATGCTATGATAAAGGACTTGTTTAGATTTCCGTCATACTTATGAAAACAAAGATAACCTACATAACATACCGTATTATTAAAATATCTGGTGTGCGATAATGTAATATTCATCAATACTTTTCAGAGGTCGCTCCTTCCATGATGGTTACCTTTCCTGAAAGAAACCTAAAACCAGGGATGGTTTTATCACTGAGCTGTTCAGCATCCGGAAACCCTCTTCCAGAAATCACCTGGAAACTGGACGGATTTCCAGTTCCCGAATCCTCTCGTTTGAGAAAAGGTGACTATGTTACGTCTCACGGTCACGTGGTTAGCTACGTCAATATTAGTGATATCAGGGTTGAAGATGGCGGTGAATACACGTGTAAAGCAACCAATGCTGTAGAAAGTGTTAGTTACACAGGAAAAATAAATGTTTATGGACCTCCAGTAATACGACCAATGGGAAACATATCTGTCTTGGCTGGAGACACAAAAACCCTTAGATGTCCAGTATCGGGGTATCCAATTAAAAGTATCTCCTGGGAAAGAGGTTAGTTGATACGATTATGTGATTGGTAGATAATTAACTGTGTATAACTTAAATATGATAATATATATACCTATAGTTTTTATCTAAAGAAAAGACTTATATTTTTTGTTTATATCACCATGTGACTAAAAACACTTATAAGCAAATTGTTAAATATTTTTAACAAAATATGTTACATAAAAAAAGAGAAAATCGGTTTTAAAATTGAAGTATATCCTCTCTCTCTTACACATTTATACCACCAAACGTTCTGTCTTCAATAAACAAGTCAAGCAGTAAACTGTATGGTAAAATTCGTGTATTTAGCTTTTCTGTCTGTTTCTGAATTAAGGGTAGGAAATAGACGAACTGATAAGACAGCCCCCATTACGGTGACGTTAACTTACCAGTGTACCGTTTTTAGTGTTTAAGTTGTATATGTTATTTAGCCTGGTTTAATATAACAAAAATCTCAATGCCTAGTATAAAATCTACTGCGTAACAGAGTAAACTGATGAATACTATTCATATATATATATTTTTAAGATAAAAGGGATCAGACAGTCAATATAAAGTATTTCATAATTAATATAACAACTCGGCAAATAAATCATGAAATAATTGTCGATAGATGGCTCTCCTTTACCACTAACTCATCGCCAGAAGATAGAGCCAAACGGGATGCTCATCCTGACGAAAATTGAAAGACCAGCTGATGAAGGAGAATACACGTGCATAGCAAAAAGCCCGGAAGATCTAACAGCAAGCGGTCGAGTGTATGTGACGATCAGAGGTTAGTATAAAAACAAATTCAAATTTTCATAATATAGCAACAATTTTAGAAACCGGGTGTTTCTCACAACAAATAAATAGACCAGAGAGCACCTAACGAAATTATATTAATTATTGTTACGATAGCGGAAGTCACATGACGCTGGTAACACGTAATGAGTTCTAGAAAGATCGGGGAACATCACGAATAATCCAGTCATTGCTTGGCGCCCTCTATTCTTGTATATAAGTGCGCCAGACAATGAATCGGATTTGAATTGTAGACAGGCAGAGATAGAGACAGACAATTGAGTCAAGCGCGGTAATAAGTAAAGTGTGTGAATCGTTCGTTGTGAATTATAACGTGTGTTTGAGTTAAACTGATTGTGGAAATTAAGTGTATTGAAAAATTGTATTGAGAAAGAATAAACTAGTTTTATTTAAGAAAGGACTTGTATTGCTGAAGTTTTTCGGAAGGAATTTTTACGGGAAATTAACAAACGACCAGAGACGTAACATTATCTTAAGATTTTATCCTCTCTGTTTACAAAGGATTTCAAGTCTTTTGTCGTCAATTGTGTGTTATACTTATCCTAAGATACTTTTCGTGCTATTTGCATTCAAAAGAACCAGTTATTTTGACTTTCTTAAATAGAAACAGATAATTAAATAATTCTCATCTAACATTATTTCTGCAGTAAATCATTTCAAAAACAGTCATATTAACGTCTCCTTAGTAACATACGCCCAACAATATTGGTTAGTGATCCCTAATTTAACTAATTTTGTATTTTACAGCTTTTTTTTGTTGTTGTTGTTGTTCTTTAGCAAGATTAACTTTGTTAAAAGCAAATCCTTAGTCTTTAATTTAAATTACCTTTATGAAACCATACGTGCGTTAAACACCCAATAATAACGCTTTAGTCAACGCTAATTTAAGTCTAGAGAGTAGTATCATTTTAAGTTTTTCTAGAGAAACCAAGATATCAAGTAATATGGTACTTTATGTTGTATACTACAGTGGCGCCTCTCATCGACGAGGAGTTTTTTCCAGAAATTAAAACTGTGAGTCAAGGAATGCGAGTCAAACTTGTTTGCGTTATTGTCAAAGGAGATGCTCCTATTACCATCAGATGGACGAAAGATGGAGCTCCTATCGTCAGAGAACACGGAAGAAGAGTACAAAATTTAGAAGATTCGTCTTTACTCATTCTGAAGAATGTAACATACTCAGACAGTGGAAATTACACCTGTCTTGCGTCCAATATTGCAGCCACTGTTAGCAGAACAACAGCTTTGGTTGTTAATGGTAAATCATTCATAGTCTTATGTATTAATGTAGCAGTTTGTTATATGTCATAGATAGATAAGTGTGGAATACATTCTTCAAACGTGACGTATAAAACTAATGAAGGAAATTCTGTTCTTCAGCCTTGTCATTAAACTTGTCTGACAAGAAGTTCGTTTTTGATACTGATATAGAATTAACCTTTGCATGACATTCGCTTTAGATTTTATATAAAGATTGAGCTAAATATTACTGTTCCCCACCCCACTCCCCGTCAGTGGATCAGCAGCAAGTCTGAAGGCTAATAATGCTAAAAACTGGATTTGGATACCAGTGGTGGGTACAGTTAAGATTACCCATTCTGTAGTTTTGTACTTAAAAACACTAAAGTATGCATCATTCAATTATATAATCGCCTTCTACTTATCTGAATTAGCTATTATTTGACGCTAAATTCATCCTATATATGAAGGTTGGACTAACCATTGTTTGATCGTATACTCACCCTATACAGAAGTTTGGACTAACTATTGTTTGATCGTATACTCACCCTATACAGAAGTTTGGACTAACCATTGTTTGATTGTATACTCACCCTATACAGAAGTTTGGACTAACCATTGTTTGATTGTATACTCACCCTATACAGAAGTTTGGACTAACTATTGTTTGATCGTATACTCACCCTATACAGAAGTTTGGACTAACCATTGTTTGATTGTATACTCACCCTATACAGAAGTTTGGACTAACTACTGTTTGATCGTATACTCACCCTATACAAGGAAACTGGTGTAACCAATGTTTAATAACATTGATCACCTCTCTATCAGTGGCAGCCATTACACCCAACCCTAGATTTATTTTTTTTGAGAAATGTAAAAGGTCTAGTTAATGAGCTATATTTATGAGAATTTACTAATATTAATTTATACAAAGTACATAGTCGAAATTTCCATCCTTGTTTTTTTTTCATAACCCTCTAGTTCTTTCGTAGTTATTACATCATCAACATCTCATATATTTTGTAGAAATTAGAGTTCAACTCCCCCCTCCCACACTCACAAACATGTTTTTGCTGAAATGGCGTCACTGCTCTTTATAGAGGCTAATGTTACCATTTTTTCACGACATATTCACCCTCTTCATGAAGGTTGATTTAACCACTGTTGACTACAAACCCAGATTTTGCATAAAGGTTAAACTACGTATTAGAACACTAAGCTTAAAATTTTAATATTTTAAGACACATGTAAAACAAACAGCAAGGATTTTTTAAAATATATACTTAAATGACTTACACTTTTTAAGAAACTTTAAAAGTTTTGTGCACAATTGACCATAAAACAACAAGGGAAACATAGGCGGCGGAACATATTTGAATTTGGGGGTGTGGGGCACAGACGATTCGAGTACCTTATTAGCTATGTTAACCTTGACCATTGATTCAAAATAAAAAAAAAGGGCTTCCCATGACAGTTATAGTCTCTATTCTCTATTCAAAGGATCACATGTCCCCCAGTGAGACAACGATAAGTCTACGAATTTACAACGCTAAAATCAGGGATTCGATTCCCCTCGGTGGACACAGCAGATATCCCGATATGGCATTGTTACGAAAAAACACACACTCAAAGGTTTGTTTTGTTTGTTGTTTTTTTTAATTTCGCGCAAAGCTACACGAGGGCTATCTGCGCTAGCCGTCCCTAATTTAGCAGAGTAAGACTAGAGGGAAGGCAGCTAGTCATCACCACCCACCGCCAACTCTTGGGCTACACTTTTACCAACGAATAGTGGGATTGACCGTCACATTCTAACGCCCCCAAGGCTGAAAGGGCGAGCATGTCTGGTGGGACGGGCACACTCAAAGGACCACTTCGCTACCGAGTCAATATTAGAGGACACGTGACCCCAGTGCCCTCTCTATTCTTCCATCTATGAATAAAAATATAGGTGATCAATGCTGATATATGTACCCAACGTTTTACAACTTTATATGGTTTGTGCGATGATTGTGTCAATTAATGATCAACTTAGAAACGCATTAAAATTATGTATAGTTGTAATTGTTTTGTATGTTTCAGAATTTCATGCAAAGCTGCTATATATATAGTGTTTACAAAAGATATTGATGATGTCGGCCGTTAGATATTATACAGAAAGTTTTATTCGATGTTCTAAAGATTGTGAATTGAAGACGTGCTATAAGAACAGTAAGTCAAGAGTTTATAGTAGTGCCATCTGTATCCTAAAATAAGTAGCATTTAAAATATATTTGTTTCATCCCAAAATGCAGAGGAATAAGAAATATTGACTGACATCATTGCCTCGGGTTTCCTATTATTCTTAAATTTGATTTTTGTAACAGTTGTGTGGTTTATTTAGAGGAAATATTTTGGTTTTGATTACCAGTACCGCCACAATGGGTTAAAGAGCCATCCAACACGGATGTTGTACGAGGGTACAGGATATCCATGGACTGTGTAGCAGACGGCTACCCTAAACCTCGAATAATTTGGAAAAAATCTTACGGTGTGTATGTTTATTTCCATTTTACTCTAAATATACAAAAAATAAACTTACTTTGTCGGCAAATTGCTATCTTGTATATTCAAAATGCACAACACACACACACAAAACAGTGCATATATTATACCATAGAATGTCAGCTCGAAAGTCCTCTAACAAAACTCTGGGAATTTGTTTAAATCAACATCGCCAATAACCTCTTTGTTTGATCCAAGTTATTTATGTGGTATTTTTACAACTTATGGTTTGTTTTATAGGGTATGGTTATAGCAATGAATGCGCAACTTGTATGTCTGTGTGTTAGAATTATTCACACTTCTAGCTGTTTTGTTTGCTTCAGAATTTCACGTAAAGTTACTCAGCCACCTCTAATAATGAACTGATAGACTAGTAGATGGAATACATCCATGCAACAGCATTCACCGACAACCCTTAAGCTTCTCTTTTTTGATTGAATAGTGGCATTTGACAGTTGCTCTTATAGCGCACCCATGGCCTCAAAGTGAGGAGCACGTTTTCGCGGCAATAGGTCACACGGATTCACAGTTCGGGTACGCTGATCACTGGGCCACGCCCGATCCTCTAGATATATGGTGAACGCAGGTTAACTGTGGAAGTTTTTGTAACTACACATGCTTTTAAAAAACGATAACAGAAACAATCTTGAAAAGTTTCGCAGTCTTATCAACTCATAAGGTTATTGTAAGTGCTGGGTGTATAAAACCGAGTAATGTGAACGTATTTGTATGTATATAATGTTTTCTTTTTGTTATTTCTCGCTTCCTTTTATTAGGAAAAAAGCCAGTTGAATTTAGGAACATTGGATCAAGTTACAGAATACGGGTTTATGGAAATGGCAGTCTGTTCATCCACGAAACTGAAGACAATGACAGTGGTTACTATATGTGCCATGCTAATAATGGAATTGGTGGAGGATTAAGTAAAGTTGTATTTTTGAACGTTCACGGTAAGTGGCGTATCAGATTCAATTAAAGATATTTCTCTAAATAAACTCATATTTACATAAATGTAAGGTAAATTACTTTTTAGATCTAAGAAAGGCAGTGTTTCTGAAAATACAAAAGATATCAAGGGTGGATTCAGGGGAGCCCATCCAGCCAAACCCACCCCCATATTTTTCACCAAACAATGTTTCATATAATTAGAGGAGATCTTACGAGTATTATGAAGTGGTAAGTGGTGTCTCACACTTAAGTAAGTTTGTTTTTATAAAGGTACGCTTTAAGTAATCTGTTAGGCTTAAACAAACTCATACTTACATAAATTACGAGTAAATTAACTGTTAGGCCTAAAAAAAGGCCGTGTTTCTGAAGATACGGAGGGTATCAAAGGTGGGTTTAAGGGGAGCTCATCTAGCCCACCCCACATCCTATTTTTCGCCAAACGTTGTTTTCCTATAATCAATGCGAAACTCACAAGTAGTTATAAAGTGCTAAAATGTCGCGGAACTTAAATTGTCCCCTAACTGAAAATCCTGGATTCGCCTTTGTTTTAAATTTTAACTCTTTTTTTTTTAGCAAATTCAATAAATGGTTACTCTTAGTAACAGACGAATTTGACCAAATTTAGAATTAAATAACCGTTCTACTTCAGCACCACCAAAGTTTGAGACGAAGTTTGGAAGCCAAGCTGTAGGAAAGCAAGAAGACGTCACTCTCAGTTGTGATGCCAGAGGAGAACTGCCGCTAAATGTTCGATGGGAAAAAGAGTGATTTAATTGATAGATGTTGATCATCAGTTGAATATGTTGAACGTAAATTAATACTCCAAGATACTAAACTCATCCAAATAAATCGTATATGATGTGATTTAATTGATAGATGTTGATCATCAGTTGAATATGTTGAGCGTAAATTAATACTCCAAGATACTAAACTCATCCAAATAAAACGTATATGATGTGATTTCACACAAAGACACTGACTTCACCCGAAAATCACGTACACAAGATATCCACATTCATTTGAATAGTATGAAGTTATTACCAACATTTTACTTCATGATATTAAAACTCACCTTTTGTCAGTTGTGTCTAGCACATTTTTAATCAAAATAAAACGTATATGATGAGCTTCAGTAAGTTGGTGTATTAATTTACGTTACACATATTCAATTGAGTATCGATATCTTTCTGTTAAATCACGTCCTATATATATTTTATTTGAATTAGCTTCAGTATATTGATTTGATTTGTTAACTTACGTTACACGGTCTTCAAGTGACAGTCAATATCCTCATGTGATATCACGTTATATATATATATATATGTTTGATTTGAGAGAGTGTCAACATCCTGCTTACGTTTTTATTTACGTTATGTAACATCCCGATGTGTGCAATAATAATCTGGAGTGAAATCATGTTTTATCCTGTTTATTAGGCGAGTGTCAGTATCGTATATAAATGTTTAATTATGTTACGTAATACTTTAACGCAAGGAGACTTAAAATGCGACAGTTATTAGCATTTTCTAATAAAACCACTGCGCATACTTAGCATACTTTGATTGATATAAATAATAAAGCAATGGTCTCCAATTATTTAAATTTTTTGGGCCATTCAGATGATGACCATAAAGCTAAGAGCCGGGCCTGAGCTTGTTGGGGGATACATCATCCTCCATACACAGTTTTGCTTATTTTCGCAATATTAGATCTCGGTGCAGGCCAGAATAAGGCTTTCGGGGATCTGATGTGGCCCGTGGTCCGCCTATTGGGGACCACCATAATAAAATCTATTACAATATATTCCAATATGCTGGTTACAAAGTAAGTATTTTTTACATTTCTGACGAAGCTTATTTTTTATTTTACACACACTAAAATGTTCTTAACCAACAGATGTGTGTGGCCAGCACGATTTATTACGTCTGTCTTAGTTATTTTAATTAACATGAATTTTATTTCGTAGAACTAGTAACCTAGAGCACTGGGCCAAAATTTACTCATGTTAGTAACCATTTGACATAATGTACCCACGTTGTTATTCATAGGGTTAACAATCTGAGCTACATGGCTGTACTTGAAAGACAGCTTTGGTTAATAACGTACTCTGATAGTACTAACATTCAATTGTGGTAAAAACAATATAAGCTGAGAGTAGTAAACGTAATAAGTTATATAATATCTTGTAACAATTATACAATGAACAGTAAAAGCCACAGTGCTGTTTGACAATACTTTACGGGTATTGTGATGATATCCTCTAAATTCAACAGTTAATCTAACAGAGTCATCTGATAGTACTAACATTTAAGACTAAACTCAACAACTAGCGTAAGAATACTTTCTGGCTACACTAAGTTCGGTATTGAGAGTAACAATACCTCCTGACAAAACTCAACTCAACAGTGATAGAAAAAACTTTCTGTTAGTTCTAAATTCAACAACAAGAGTGACAATACCTTTTGACAATATTCTACAGTGGGCGTAGCATTATCTTCTGGCAGCACCTAATTAAATAGCTAGTGTAGCAACCTCCTCTAATAGTACTAAACTCAACAGCTAGAAAACCAATATTCTCTGACTATGAAATTCAACTATAATAATAATATCTTCTGAACGTTCTGAACATCCTCTAACAAAACTAAAATTCGTTATAGAGAATTGCAATGAATTTTATAAGTACGTAACACATCATTTGTTGGGACAATAATAAAATCAACAGTAGTGAACCATTAGGAGTAATCTCTTACATCTCTTACAAAATAGTGTGAATGTTTTATGTGGTATTCTAACAGGTTTATAATAACAAGCTATTTCTATCCATTCCATACTAGAAAATTAATATTTTTCTTGTCTAATCTTTTGTTTCTGTAACCATCAGCATCGTATTTCACAGGCTGTTGAAAAGAAGGAATTTCGTGTGGATTTAGATTATCTATAGAATATAGATTATTTATATTTGTTATCTTCTTATTAGTGTTTATGTATTAATCCTCTTTATGTGTGTGTTAATTTTCTTATTCAGTGCTAGCTATTTATTAATTCTCTAGTAATTAATTATTATGTTCAGTAATATATACATACGCACACACATGTGTAGTAATCTTCTTATACAAAACTGTCTATATGCTAATTCTCTAGCAATTATTTGTCTTGATCAGCATTATACATATGTATTGATTTTCTTATTCAGTTCTATGTACAAATTCTCTAGTAATTAATTACGCTGTTCAATATTATATATATATATATGTAATGATTTTCTTATTGGGTGTTATCTGTGTACTAATTCTCTAGCAATTAATTATCTTGTTCATTATTGCATATATATATACATTTTCTTATACACTAATAACTATTTATTAATTATTTAGCAATTATTTAGCTTGATTAATATTATGTATACGTATTCATTTTCTTATACAGTACTATCTATGTACTAATTCTCTATTTCAGTATTATCTAATTCTAATTCAGTATTAACTTTTTATTTGTTCTAATTATTACCCATGTTAATTATGATGTACAATACTATATGTTTTGATAATCCTGCTCAGTATTATCCTGCACTAACTCCCCTTAAAAACGTTTTGCTGGTCTCGCTTTAACCCACAGAACGAGAAGTTCTAAGTACAATTATGAAACTTTTGTATCTTAGGTATACTGTGGAAGAAGATGTGGGTGAGGGTATGATCACTTCACGGCTGATAATCTCGTCAACAGATCGACAGGATTCCGCTCTTTATACGTGTATCGTATCAAATCAGTACGGCTCAGATGAGACAAATATTCAGCTGGTTGTTCAAGGTAAGGTGTTTGATCCCAGAATTGAAACGAATAAAATATTAACACAAATAAAACCTGGGTTTTTGTAGCGGTTGAACTTCGTCCTGCCTATAAACTTTCCATGTTTCTAGAATAATCTATACTCTGGTGCTCTTCTGAATTTGAGTTTATGTTTTAGCCCTCGAACAGTCTCATGGTACTTTTTATTTATAAAATATTCCTGGTTTGGAATTTAAATTCGTAAAAAACAAAGAGCTAGTGGGTCAGGGATGGACTGAACCAGGACCTTCTAAAAATTCAGTTCTCTCGTTTATCATGTGGTGCTCCTTTTACCCAACCAAACGTAAAATGCGAAATTCTGACATATTAAGAAACTCAAAGCATAGGCTGTGTTCGTGACCCTTTAGAAATGTATATATCTGTGGTCTTAAAATAAGTGAAAACTAGTAAGAAACAGTACATTTATAGATAATCACAATAATTAACATTTTTACATGCATGTGCCCTTATTCATCTGTATTAACTCATTTTATATATTGATTACAAGCTGAAATCCCCTTCAAATGACGTGGAATATTTAAAATTAATTAAAACAGCGTAACTTTAACAGCAATCATATATTTCAAAGTAATAACTTGAACATAAACTTTATCTCAAAATTATAACATTCTAACGAAGTTTCTTCATAAACAACACTTGCAGTTTGTTTTCCATCGAACCAACAAATAAGGATTTTAAGGTGATCCCACCCTTGAACACCCTACATCTCATTGACCATGAGAAAAGCAACTTTCATACTTTGACCTTGAATCTCTTTAGAATATTCAACATTGTTTAAAGCGCCAACCTGTCAAGATTGTTTGAGATTGACTCAATAGGTAGGGAGTAATTAACCAACAGGCTTTAAAAAATAGAAATAGGATTAAGTTTAATTTTGACCCCCTTAGGACATTCCCCATATTTACATAAAAAGTTGGGTTGAGATTGGCTCAACAGGCTCGGAGGAGTTAGGGTGCAAACAAAACACACATTTCGTCTTCACACACACACATATATACAGGGTGGGCCAAAAGTAGGGTTACAGTTAACACTTAAACATTTTTCCTTTATTAGAAATTTAA